CGCCAGCGCTTCTCCTTCTCCCTCTCGGTCTGGGTGCATTCAGGCGTCCACCATACCGGATCGGAAGGCCTCGTTTCCAGGACTTTGGATGGGACAAACTGTGCAACAGCTGCAGTAATCGAAGCGGTAACCTGCTCACAGGAAGTTTCTGGGTCCTCCGTGATGATATCACCCCATTCCACATTGCGAAGGTGCGCCCTGAGGCGATCCCAGTCTGCCCTGTTGTAGCGAAATACTGTTCGCTTAACAGGGGTTCAGGTCTAGGGAGCACGGAAAAAAAGTCTGACAGTACAACTGCATGGTCAGATCGACCGAGGGGCGGAAGTATACGTGTAGTTACTGGGGACGTGAACGTTGACATTATGAGATCTAGCGGGTTGTCTCCACGAGTCGGTACTGTGACATGCTGGACAAGAAGATGGGCAGCGCAGGTATCTTCGAGAGCCTCGCCTGCAGGCGTAGTTTTCGAGCTGTTCAGCCAAGCCCGGTTGTGCACGTTGAAATCGCCAGCTAGGATGATGTGGGAGCCCTGGTGTCTAGCTTCTGGGAGGATGTTGTCGAGATGATCAATTAAGGTAAGATCGCCAGGGGCACAGGACCCCGGCCGATACACTGCTGGAGACCTGGGGCCAGCTGGAGAGAAACCCAGATGATCTCATGTGCGGGGGACATGAGTTCAGGGATGAGCATGGAGGGGAGTGACGACTTCACCCAGATGGCTACCCCTCCCCCATGTGCTGTTCTGTCCAACCGAAGTGGTGAGCTGTATCCAGGGAAGCTAATGTCAGAGGGAAGCACTTTCTCCGCAGTGAACTTCGTTTCTGCCACAATTGCAACGTCGGGCTGATGCTGCAGGAGTGCGTGCTGAAGGTCGGGAAGTTTGCTGGCTAGGCTGAAAGCGTTTGTGCAGAGAATGCGAAGATGCTTGCTACCCTTCATTGCAGGAGGAAGTAATTAAAAAAGGGGAGGGACATTTGGCGTAAGCGGGTGCATAGTTACATGTATGGCTAAGGGTCCTAAAATCTAATGAAATACCTAAAAGGATCAAGCTAAAGATAAGAATGAGGAAGCTGGAGGAAGACACGAGGTTGAAGTAGGACAGGGAAAACCAGATTGTGTTTGTATACCTAGGGCTACACAGGGGGAGAAGATGTTATCTGCGCCAAAGTATCTGCTTATTGCTTGACGCAGTGATCTTTTTCGCCTTCTTCTTCCTCTGGTTATCACTAGCAACTACCAATGGGGAGGTCGACTCCCGCGGCCTCTTGTGGAAGCAGTCTGCCAATATCGCCAATGCTCTAGCCTCATCGCCCCCTGAGAGTTTCCCCTCATGTGGACACTCCGACTCCTCGGCCCAGCTGCTGTCAGGAGACAGAGTGAGGTCAAGTTCCACGTGGTTGCTTTGTTTATCATGCTCTGGTCGCATTTTGACAGTTACGGCAGAAGCTGAGTCTTGACTGCCATGTGTTGCCGTGCCCTCCTCCAGGGGTCTCGAGTCGACCTGACCAGCCGGAGAAGCGCCCAGGCTCTCGTGTTGTGGCTGATCCTCGCGCGCTTGTCTGAACGGATGACCTCCTGGGGTCCCGATTTGACTGCACAGGCTAGGCTTTCAGGCAGTGGCTGATCCTCGCGCCCTTTCTGGGGTCCCGATTTGACCCTGTTAGCGTACGTTCCACGAGGGATGCGTGGCCTGGTGGGGCAGTCCGCGGCCAGGTGACCTGGGGACTCGCATACCCTACAGGTGCGTGGTTGATCCTTATACCGTACGGCAAAGACGTGACCCCCTGACGTTTGAACGTAGGATGGAATGGAGGGGCATTGTTTCCCTAGTTTGAAGCTTAAAAAGCGTACCCCGGTTGTAACATCGAAGCCATGCTTTGTGGTGACTTGCCCGTATCGAACTGTTGAAGCGGGACTACCGTACGGTTTGAGAGCGTCCGTCAATGCAATGTCCGAGATCCAGACAGGAAGGTCAGATATATGCAGCTGGAGGATCGAATCCAGTACGTTTGAAACCAAAATAGTCTTATCCAATAGAGAAAAGCCCTCCCGAACAACACGCTCTAGACTCGCAGTGGACATGAACGTTACAATGCACTCATGCTGTGAACTTATCTGAACAGATGTGAGGTCGTTGTATCCAGCATCTCCCAGTGCATTCGCGACATCCACCACTTTGGTCCCCAGTGGGCAATCTAATTTCCCGGACGTCGCTCGCATCTGCTCCGAGGTCAGTGCAATCCATCGGGGTCTCGAGTTACCAGTGCTCGCCATGATTGGTGGTAAGGTTATAATGGCATGCCCTAGATATGCTTTATAAGGATCCAAAAACTACCACATTAACAAAAGGATGCAGAGCTCCCAAAACTGCATCCACTCTGTACACTGTACGATCTTTTCCAGGGGCTCCTCTGCCAAGATCTGGGTGGCAACTCCTGTCCGGCTACCGTTCATGGTAGAAGCACCACCATAACACTGGCCTCGATAACATTCCAGCTTGAGGTTCATCCTCTACAGTGCATCCTTGATTACGCTGACAATAGTGTCAGCATTAGCCGTGGCGATGGCATAAAATCCTCAGAACTCCTCATGAAAATGGAGCTCCGAATCTACCTATCGAATGACAATTACACACTGCTCCGTACAGCTGGAGTCAGTGGTTTCATCCTCCATGATGGCGACCTTACTTTCGGCGATACTGAGTGCAAGTCCACAGAGGATCTGGAGTGCCATCACCTTCAACATTTTGTTCTGCATATCAGCACTCGTGTATTTTCCCTTCTTCTTCTCTAGCCACTTCTGTAGCGACGGTTGGAATTCGCTGAAGACGGTCAGGAGCTGGTGGAAATTGCTATCTACTGGCACACTGAAATGACTTGCTGAGGTCTACTTTACTATCTATTTCACCTCCATCTTACGATGCTCCTCGGAGAGGCAGTCCTTGTCGAGCAAGAAACTTGATGTTTCAAAGAATGAGGAGGAAAGTCTCTCGCTTTACGGTCAAACAAAAACTGTGCGTTGAGAAGTTCACCAACGTGACCAGTTGTCTCAGGAGTTGTCTCCAACATTTCAACAGCCTCCTTGTGACAGTCGCTGGACTGATGTTTCGAGAATCCTTCCGGACCATACTTCCAGTTTTGAAAGCCAGTTGAAATAAACGCAGCGTCAGTCTTCGTATTGAAGAGGAGCATTCCTCGAGCCAGGCCACGAGTTCCCAATTAACTGTGGGTCGCCGCACGGCTGCAAAAATTCCTTCCGCTTCCAAGCAGAACTTGAACCTGGTACCCTCTGTGCCCTCTGTTTCTCAATCAGGAAAACAGGAAAATATGGATGACGTGAATGGGACTTTCGGTCTTTGACCACATGCTGGTGAGCTGATCTACTCACCTCCCACCACTTTAGGAGCTGCATCTGCTCCTTGATCCTTGAAGGGTGGTGGCGTTCCTACGGATACGGAAAACTCGGCCTCAGAGAAACCGAGTCTCACGCGAACCGCGAAATTTTTTTTCCTCGAGCTGCCTTTACGGACGTAAAGCAAAATACTCGTTTACGCTTCACATCCCAATGCAACCACGAATTGTCATACCAAGATGGCAAGAATGCATGGAACACAACTTGGCTAACCACGAAGGCTCGCTTTGGCTAGTCAAGTGACCTGATTTGGAAATGAGCATCTCCTATTTCGGGGTAACCATGGTAACCATCCATCTCTTCGAGTCAGAACAATAAACTGCCACCACGGTACATGATTACAGAGATTTGCCACCTCTGTCCATGCTCTGGTGCAAAGGCTCACACAGCGCACCGTACATTTTTTATGCATGCATGAGATACCCCATACCTTTTCAGGCCTGCAAAAAGAATAGAATAGATTTTTAGAATTTCGATTTGGAAAATTAGTAGTGCGGCTTTGGCCGCACCAGCCGAACCAGTTCCGACACCCCTGATGTTGACCAACCAGGCTAAGCACCCAGACTGACCACTCAGATTAACTCAGACTAAGCCAGACTAAGCACTTAAACTAAGCACCAAGATTCTAAAAGCACCTGATATGAGTTTTGCCTTTGCTTGACTCCATCGAAAGGGTATGAAGAGTTGCACACTCTTGGTAGCTTAGTTACCCTTGATCATACTGTACACTCTAGTACTATGATCATACTGTACACTCTAGTACTATGATCATACTGTACAGTCTAGGACTATGATCATACTGTACACTCTAGTACTATGATCATACTGTACACTCTAGTACTATGATCATACTGTACACTCTAGTACTATGATCATACTGCACACTCTAGTACTATGATCATACTGTACACTCTAGTACTATGATCATACTGTACACTCTAGTACTATGATCATACTGTACACTCTAGTACTATGATCATACTGTACACTCTAGTACTATGATCATACTGTACACTCTAGTACTATGATCATACTGTACACTCTAGTACTATGATCATACTGTACACTCTAGTACTATGATCATACTGTACACTCTAGTACTATGATCATACTGTACACTCTAGTACTATGATCATACTGTACACTCTAGTACTATGATCATACTGTACACTCTAGTACTATGATCATACTGTACACTCTAGTACTATGATCATACTGTACACTCTAGTACTATGATCATACTGTACACTCTAGTACTATGATCATACTGTACACTCTAGTACCATGATCATACAGTACACTCTAGTACTATGATCATACTGTACACTCTAGTACTATGATCATACTGTACACTCTAGTACTATGATCATACTGTACACTCTAGTACTATGATCATACTGTACACTCTAGTACTATGATCATACTGTACACTCTAGTACTATGATCATACTGTACACTCTAGTACTATGATCATACTGTACACTCTAGTACTATGTGAACAACGGAAGACTGCTATCTGTACTGAACTTCCAGTCAACATTGTGTAATTAAACAAAAGTGGAATAGCGCTAATCAACCATAGATCTTACCTGCAGTCTGTGGTTGTTCGAGTCAACCACCACAAGATCACCATCGTCATCCACAGCTACATCACTGGGTTCGTTGAATTCAGCATTACCACTGCCCTGTTTGCCTATATCACGTATGTATGTACCATCCAGTGTGGTGACCTACAGGTACATACATGTACATCACAACACAATACACCAACAGAAAAGAACAGCATGGACAAAACTTCATTTTAACATTTCAAACGTTTCCCAGTACAGAATGATACAGTATGTCTGCATCATACATAAGCTCAGTTACTCATGCAAGAATTGCACGAATTAGGAAAGATGTGTGCCTTACACAGGAAAGCTTAGTTAGCCCAGGCATACAGGCATTATTGGCATGGTAGTGCTGGTGTTGTGAGTATGTATAGTAGTAGTAGTAGTAGTAGTAGTGTTAGGCCCACAAGTAATTACATGTAGTTCATGTTCATTAGTTCATGCATTATTCATTTGGCCTGGGTAACTACTTGCGCACCCATGTTTGCCATAGCTACCCAGGCTCTTTATATTGCGTTGCTCTCTCTCTTCAAATCTCTCTCTTCAATAGTCTCACTCTTCAATGTAGTCGTTTCGTTTGTCCTGGTCTTAGTCATCCCGTCTCTAGTAAATGTCGTTCCACCAACATACCTGTTCCCATCGTCAGTCTCTTGTTTGGACTCAACATTGACGCCCAGCTTTTGCCGAAGCCTGCGACCCTGGGATTCTCGTGTACTACCGCCTGGCATTCGTCTCATCACGTCAAACTCGTCTCGTCGCCAACCTCGTCTTATCTCCAACCTCGTCTCATCTCCAACCAACCCATGTTTGCCATAGCTACCCAGGCCCTTTATATTGCGTTGCTCTCTCTTCCAATCTCTCTCTCCAATAATCTCAATCTTCAATGTAGTCGTTTCGTTCGTCCTGGTCTTAGTCATCCCGTCTAATAAATGTCGTTCCACCAACATACCTGTTCCCTTCGTCAGTCTCTTGTTTGGACTCAACAGTAGTAGTAGTAGTAGTAGTAGTAGTAGTAGTAGTAGTATTTATTTTATTCACCATTGGATGCCTCAACAGTGATATACACAACTCTTAAGAGGGCCGATAACGGGATAAGTGGAACGGAAAAGAAAAGCAAAGACAAATATAGAAAAAATTGGAATCCAGACATCGAGCAGTACAGTAATCAAACACCAAGTCAACTTCAAGCTTAGCACAAGAACTATCAAGATCATCGAGAAACTCAACAGATTCCAAAAAGAAGGTCAAAATACTTCTTAAACGCCACTGGGTCTTTAAGAAGATCCCTGAGTTGGTTTGCAAATGTAGAGATACGGTGGTGTCTGCGCCACTCGGCAGGCATTGTATTAAAGAAAATTGCGGCACGATTAGAAAAAGACTTTACTCCATCAGTTGGCCGGTGCTTAGATTATGGCAATGGAAGCAATAGAGTGGCTTCTAGTTCTAAGGCATGTTGTGATCGGTGGAAATAATTCCGTTAGGGTAGGCAGTGAGATGATGACATGATTTCTATGAATCCACTGGACAAAGGTGAGAATCATAATTATAGTGTTGAAATGGATAAATCGCCAATGTGGTCAATAATGGCGTGATGTCGTCCTGTGACTTAGCACCACAGGCAGCTCGCACAGCACGGCGGAACACAGTAGAGAGCCTTTGGCGGTCATTAGCAGACAGCTTTGTTACAAAACACGAACAACAGTACAAAAGATCAGGTAGAATGACTGATACAATAAATTGCCTCCTGGCCTTCCTGCCCAGTTGCCGAAAGGACCGACGAAGAGCGCCAACCTTAGCACATGTCTTGCGAATTACAAAGTCAATGTGAGGCGACCATGTTAGGCGGTCATCAATGATGACCCCCAGGATGCGGCTGCTGGTAACGCGGGTCAATACCTGATCGTTAAGAATCACAGGAACAGACAGGTGTGTCATATTGCTGTCCCTGCACAGTTTACAAGTTGGCCAATTTTAACTTTTTAAAATTTGAAATCGTGCTAAAAAGTATGTAATGGAGAAACCGTGAAAATGGTACACATGTAAAGTAAAAGAAAAAAGGCCCAACCCTGCCCAGCCAGGGATTTGGGCTTACGGGGGTCGCCATGACAAATAATAATATTATAGAACTAAAGATAACCGCAATCAGTAATACAACCTGGATCGACATTTGTGTACACTTTATTCATGTAATGTAAAACTGTGGAGACAATGTGCAATAAAACGATGAAAATGTGAAGAAATGGTGTAGAGAAAATGAGGATTCAAACAAGTTTTCGTACAACACTCATCAGGAATCCTTGTTGTACCAAAGGACAATGAAAACAAAATTGAACTATTATAGAAAATCTAAGTTAGAGAAATAACACTAAGAACAACGGCAGTGAAATTTACAAGTGTGAACTTTATCAATGAAAGCGAGAGCAATAACGAATGCGTGTACTAACACTAAACTTGCACCTGAAAAATGAACGAAGAAGAGAAGGGGACAAAGTGATAACAAATAACAGCAGCACATAATAATAATAATAATAATAATAATAATTGACTGATGTGAGGGAAAGAGACAAACGGGAAAAGTCTGAAGAAAAAATTGACTGTCACCACCAGGACTCGAACCAGGGACCCTCGCTTGTAGCCAGCGATGCTCTAACCACTGAGCTATGGTGTAGTCGTCATCCCAGCAGAGGCCGTTCAACATTTTCTTCAGACTTCGTAACTCACACTTCCTGTGAATCCACACAGGCGGGTAGGACGCAGCCCTCACTGTAACCCACACACTTCACGTACAAACTAGCACGCGGGGAGCCCCAAGTCATAAAATATTGACTGATGTGAGGGAAAGAGACAAACGGGAAAAGTCTGAAGAAAAAATTGACTGTCACCACCAGGACTCGAACCAGGGACCCTCGCTTGTAGCCAGCGATGCTCTAACCACTGAGCTATGGTGTAGTCGTCATCCCAGCAGAGGCCGTTCAACATTTTCTTCAGAAAGAATAATAATAATAATAATTTGGAAAGGATTGGGAGAACTTCAAATTCAAAGTATCAGTCGGGGAAGTGAACTGCCTGAAAAGAGAAAAAAAAACGCCAGACCCACCAGGACACGAACCTGGGACCCTGCTTGTCATGAGCAATGCTCTAACCACTGAGCTATGGGACCAGGCTGAACCTAGAAGGCGCTGACAAGTTTTTCACTCCAAAGGCAGCTCACAACAAAAGTGGGTCTGGCGTTTTTTTCTCTTTTCAGGCAGTTCACTTCCCCGACTGATACTTTGAATAATAATAATAATAAAGGTTTGCTCCCCACACAGGAGCTCGCGCTATTCCGCCGACTTTACTTGACACTTGACTGACTCACGACTGCCATCCAGAGCATACGAGAAGTCCATCGAACCTTCGACTTCGAAGTCGGCGGAATAGCGCGAGCTCCTGTGTGGGGAGCAAACCTTTCTTACAAATCATCGCCGAAGTCGCAACCACTACTTCGTAATAATAATAATAATAATAATAATAATTCAAACAGTAGTTTGGAGGCGGTGGGAAAACAGTTTCGTAATAAGTATTCGAATGCAACGACGCAAATCCACACAATTCAGTAAACACTTCTTTTCTATCAAACGTTTTCCTTCCCTTCTCTTCAGGATAGTACAGGGAATGTTGGAAATTTGGAAAAACACATAACTATATAGAAAAAAAAAGAAAAGACAACACTTCAATATAGGCGATAAAATGACTAAAGTGTGAAAAAAACTCGAAAAAAAAGCAGCAAGTTGTAGACAAACACGTTGAACACATCAAGAAGCACTTGTCACACTTTCACGAGGTGTGACACCAAACAACTGCAACGATAACACATTCTCCTTCTGTACACATAGTTCTGGATCTAGTAGTAGACTTACGGGCGGTGCCGAATCCTTAGCAGACGCTCTGCAACAAACCTTCGGCCGTTGCCGAATCCTTACCAGACGCTCTTCAACAAACCTTCGGCCGTTGCCGAATTCTTAGCAGACGCTCTGCAACAAACCTTCGACCGTTGCCGAATCCTTACCAGACGCTCTTCAACAAACCTTCGGCCGTTGCCGAATTCTTAGCAGACGCTCTGCAACAAACCTTCGACCGTTGCCGAATCCTTACCTGACGCTCTGCAACAAACTTTCGGCCAACAAACTTTTGGCCGTTGCCGTGTCCTTAGCAGACACTCTGCAGCGTTACTTGGGGCTCTTGCCGAATCCTTAGCTGACACTCTACAAAACACATGCATGCCACAGTGCCATATCTCTTGCCGAAGCTCTATTAGTATTGTAGTGGGTAGCCGAGTGGTAGGCGCGGTGCAATTAACAAGAATTACTTTTATTCTACTTTCAGGTACACACCTGAGACATAATCGTTATTGCAAGAAGAAGCGGCAAAATAAATAACTTTCTCTCCGGTGCTCACCTAGAGGCTGAATCCTTATTCTTCGAGTTAGTTTTCATTGCTATCCAATCTAATCTAATCTAATCTTCTCTTTATCAAAACAGAAATGCGCAGCCGCTTTTATGCAGCAGACGAAGTACGCTTACATACGGAGATACACTAAATATACATCAGGCAAGCTCCGTATTAGTTCCGTACTGCTTCCGTAGTGGTCGGGTAGGGATACTACACCCTCCCTTCCTACAGATAATCACGCCCTCGTGATTTTCAAAAATTAGTGAGGAGTTACGAACACAGCGTCAACCGGAAGATGGCAAATTATATCGGAAATGATAACGTTTAGAGTAGACAGAAGAAATGAACTAATAACAAATAATAAAGTAGAAGCACACCAGGTTCACACGGTCTCACCGGGGTCAAAAGGGGAAAGAACTGTCCTCCAAATAGGACCTGAAGCCACAGCACTCTTGCTGCACAACGCTGGCACAACCCGCCAGGAACATCGCAGTTCAAAAACCGAACTGAATACACTATAACTATAAGGGGCGTTGTCACACACATTGTCCCACGTTAGCTGGGTAAGCCGTGGCTCACCATGATCAGACGCCTACCAAACTAAACTGGATTCACACACTCGCATAAAGGAAGACTGAAGAGAACAGGGAGACTGAAGGAAGACAGGAAAGAAAATGCCATACCTGGAA